GCATCAGGTTGCCTGGTTTTCTTCTAAGTTAATTCTCTGTCTACAACCGTTAGTGTCTGTGTCCCGGATGCCGTTCCAGAAGGGAAGGCACAGCAGTCATAGCTGGAAGGGGGACTGGGCAATGTCTGGAGAAAGTCTTGTCACCACTGGTGGGAGGGGTGCACTGGCATCTAGCGGCTGCGGCCAACCACCCTGCAGTGCACCGGACACCCCCACAACAAAGAGGCATCTGGTCCAGAGTGCTCATGGTGCTGCGTTTGAGGAACCCAGATTTAGGTGCCTACAAAATGGCTTTCGGGGAAGGCCCGCCTCTGCCTGTTCATCCAGTGCTGGCTGCTGGGCTGTCTCATGGGACACTGCCTTCTAAAATGCTCTGACACAGCCTAAAGCATTGATGCTGTATGGAACTGCAGACGTTTTTATTGTCTCCGTCTGGCCAGTGTCTGGCGCCTTGCTGTAGTTGGGTGATACCTTCAGTGGTATCCAAGGGACCCAGTAATGGCACAGAAGCTGAAGAAGCCAGATACTTGCTTTCCTGGCATCCCTGGCATCCCAAGTACAGACCTGTGACCCAGGCTCCCCCATCAAATGCACCCAGGCAGGAGTGCTGAAAGGAGTGGGCAAAAGGGTCTTTCTCCCAGGAGTGAGGTCTGGAAGGGCTGGGCGACAGGACTGGCTTTGCCAGAGCATCTGAAACGAGGCTGGTACTGTTGCTGGTTGGCTCACACCAGGCCTTGTCAGCCCAATACCTTTTTCATCAGTTCCGCTTTACTTTCAATATTCAGTGCATGTTTCTGTTGCTTGCAACCAAAAGTCCTGGATGTACAAATTCCCTGCCAAGTGCAGTAAGACACCACGAGAGGATGGGGAGGGAAGGCTTTTGCTCTGAGCTCTCTGTTACCAGTTCGCACATGAGGGGTGATTTGGACCCATGGTATAAGCGAATCATGGAACTGGATTTTAGGAGAAGGCTTGAAAGTACATCCTGTACTTACTATACCTAATTTTCGTTCTTCGGTTGTAAAATGGCTTAGTGATGATTAACGACTTAGGGTTTTTGGACAAGAACGACAGATTTCCCAGCGTCTGACAGAGGGAAGAACTTCAGCACCAGAGCCCCGGGCTGGGGGAGGTGGTCCTGGGCTGGAAGGAGAAGAAGAAAAAGATGAGGAGAGAAGCACGGGGAACTCGGTGTCTCCTCTTCCTGGGAAAGCAGAGCAGCTGTGGATTCCTTATCGAATGAGAACATCCCTTACATCTGCTGTCACGGCACGTCCTCCGGCGCAGCCGCCGTGCCCTGGGCAGTGTAGGGCCAGGTTCGGTTTTGACTCTGCTGCGTTTCAGGTGGATTCACTTTGCCGGGCTCACCAAGGCCCGATCTTCTCCGGCTTCCCTATCAAGGCCCTGCTCGTAACCTCTCCACTTCAACAGAAAACTTGGTTTCCTCGCATTCCCTGGACTAACTCCCATTTCTGTCCCAGCACCTCGTCCTACCAGTTAGACACTGGACGGGACAGGGTGAGGGACGAACCACAGAACCCTGCCGACCACGACCGCTCCAGCAGGAGGCTCCTCAGGAGCATCTTGGCGCTTCCCGTCGGCTCCGTCAGATCCCTCCTGACCCTGGGAGGGCCCCAGCGTCCCACATCCGGAAGTGCAGGGAGCACCCAGACGCCCGCTGGAGCGGAGGGCCTGGGGTGGCCGCAGCACTGCTCGCCCTGGCGGCATCACTCAGGCCTCCCAGAAGGGCCTGTGGGCTGGAGGGGGAGGGGACAGCAGCCTGTGAACCAGTGGAGCAGGAGTGGGTGGGCCATGCTCGTGGGACAAGGCCTTCCAGCGTCAGGAACCAGGAGAGGACAGAACCACTCAAGCGAGGCTCGTGGTCACGCCTGGCTTAGAGAAAACGCACCTATTAAATGCACGTCACGTGGGTTTAGCAGCTGCCTTCCCCCTAGGCCTCCCCTTCTTCCTTGGTGACAGGACCCTTAGTTTTTAGGTATTTGATATCAAGGTCCCCAAGCCCAGAGGCTAAGCCATCTTGGTCTTTTCCAGAGCACATCGAGGTTTTGTGAGGCCCGAAGCTTCCACTACTGGGGGGCATTGGGAGAGCTTTTTCCCCAGAGACATATTATAATATGTAACGGATACATTAGGTGCAAACTGAATTTTTATTTAGAATGAAAAAATAGCGAATTACAGATTTTAAAGAGCTAAAAAATTCCACAGACGACCCGGAGTCCAGGTGAGTAACAGCCTGGCTGGAGGGGCACTCTCTGCCTCTTCTGCATTTTTGGCTCTCTCTGATCACCCCTTCTGAGGGCGGTGATTTTACCTGCATGCTTTATCAAAAACTATCAGAGAGTCTAGAAGAACTTCCCCAGGCTGCACAGACGGTTAAGGTCCGATTCCGGCCGTGTGGCATCTCTGAAGACCGCGGCCCGGTTCAATTCCAGGGAGGCTCCAGGCCTTGGCATCCCAGTCTCCCCGCAGCTCCCCGCCAGCGCTGTCAGCACCCTCTGGGCCACGCCTCGCTGAGACACCGCACCTGCCCGGCCTGCCTTGGCTAATGGGGTTGCTGCGCCCAGGCTCGTCCCCAGTGCTGCTGCAACACGCAGCATCACCACACGGCAGCCCCGCTCCCTGGGAAGCCCGCTCAGCACAGAGGACCCCGGGGCCTGAGCCTTGCAGGATACCGCGCCCCTCGGGCAGAAGGGCCGGCGGGCATTGTGGGGAGACCGAGGTTGGTGCCTCTTGGTGGCCCCGACAGAAAACCCAGGGGAGACTGCCCGCTGAGGGCCCTGGGATCCCAGCTGCCGAGACCACGGCTCCCAGTCAGAGCCATGCTGTGGGGAGGCCCCGGGAGAGAGGACTGAGGGCCCGTGCGGGGCTGGGAGGTCCATCTCAGCTGCACGGGGGAGTCCCCAGTCAAGGCAGGGCGCATGGCTTCAGGTGCGGCATGGCCCAGGGCCCGTTTCCTCTGGGGCCTGCTTCCCTGAACTTCTTTCAGAAAACTCAGAGCCCCCTTCCCAGACTGAAGGCAACGGGAGGAGGAGGTGAACTTAGGAGCACAGCCTCGGCTGCCATCTGTCCCAGATGTGGAGGGAACAGCAGAGGGTGGCTCCCGTGGCTCTCCACCTTTGAGCATCTCTCAGGCCAGGGAAGGGAAAGGGTCACATGAAGCCAGCAGGCACTTCAGTGCCACGTCCCCCGAGGGACAGTCCTCCCACCCAGGAGCCCCTGGTTGCCAGGAAAGTACCACTGGCAAGGCTGCCTCCACTGCCTACAAGAGGACTTGGTAGCTGTGAAGGAACTGGGAGATTCTCCGGACAGGACAAGGTCAGGGCTTCCAGACTAGGAAGAAGTCTTCCAGACACCGACCTTCACCAGTGCCAGTCGGAGAAGACGGAAGAGGCATGGGTAGAGGCCTGGCAGGAGGACGAGGGAGGCCAACCCTCTACACAGGACCACAGGACAGGGTGGAGGACCGTCCCAGGCACCCCCACCACACCAGGAGGCCTGGTCCCACTGGCCCCTCTCTCTAGGGGTTCCTAGCTACCACCATGTCCGCAGAGGAGTCACAGCTTCCATGGCCCAGCCACAAGCTCTGGCTCAAAGTCAGAACAGGAGAGAGGCCCTCAACTCCAGCGAGGCATGCAGCTCCTTTTTCAACCCCCACATCTCTGACAAAGCATGTTATATGAAGGCAATGACCACGATGGCAACTGCCACCAGAATATTTCACCAGCATACCCTCTGACTGCAGCATTTCTCAGAAGAAAGGCTCAGGTCAAAAGTTCCTGGAATTTTCCAGATCTTCAGGTGGATCTAGTAGCATTGCCACATACCGAAAATAGGAATTTCCGTAAAGGCTAACCTCTAATCCAGCGAAACTTCGCTCATACCTCAAAATGGAGCCAAGACGCAGAGACTACTAATACACAGAAATCAAAACGGACAGAAGGAGTCTTGACTCACTCGACAAACAGAATAGACACAAAAGAATGTACAATCAATACAATTCCAGAGTGACTCTGAAAGGAAAAAGAATCCTCTGCTGACATGAAGTAAGTATTAACCTTGAGATTAGACTACCAATGCCTCTTTAAAAAACAGACAGTGTCTTGTTCTGCTGCCCAGGCAGTGACTAGACCTCAGCTCACTACAACTCCCGCCTCCTGGGTTCAAGCGATCCTCATGCCTCAACCTCCCAAGTAGCTGGAGTTACAGGTGCGTGCCACTGCACCCCGCTCATTTTTGCATTTTTAGTAGAGATGGGGTTTCGCCATGTTGGCCAGGCTAGCCTGGAACTCGGCTCAAGCGATCTACCTGCCTTGGCCTCCCAGAGTGCTGGGATGACAGGTGTGAGCCCCGGCACCAGCCAGGCCCACTCTTTATCAGGAATTTCCAATTCCCATTTCGGTTTAACAAGAGAACCAACTGCTGCTAATCCTGTCTTCTAATGTTTCTGGAACACATCCTCTAACCTTCGCCTGCCGGCTCCTCTGATGTCCCAGCAGCTCTTTGGTGGCAGTCAGCATGTAGCAAATACAAAGTGGAAAGGGTGTGCAGGAGGCCCTGGCTTGGGTGTGCTGTCTGCTCCCATGGCCTGTCAGGCAGGTCCAGGGAGACACCACCTTTACTGGTGGTCACCAGGTGGAAGGCCCAGTTCTGAAGAGTGTGGCAGTAAAACTAGAATAGTCCCAATAGTCTGGGAGTTCACCCTCCCAGAATGGCCCAACGCAGAGCCCTTCCAGAGGAAGTTGGCCTTGGGCTGCTCTGGCTAATTAAACATTTGAGGGTTCTGTATGAGCTGACACACACTCAATGAATGTCGATGACTCTTTCAAAACGTAAGGCTTCTTAATACTGCTTGTGCCTACACCAGAAATTCCCCACTCAGACTCCCCTTGGATGATGAATTTCTCCATACAGCAAGACTTCATATGTGGCTTTATATCACATCCCTGATTCCTAAAAAATGTTGCATGGAAAACGCTAAATTCTCTTTAAATTCTTTAAGGGTTCATGACCAAATTCTTGGTTCTCAGACTTTGAATCTTTAAATAATAGATGTGCATCTTGACTTGGGTGAAAATTAGAAACCTGTTCTCCCACCCAAGCCTTTGCTCCAGTCATTCTCCAGCTGGACAGGCAGGCACGAGGAGGGCTGAAGGCTCACTCAAGTCATCGGTGAACATGTCTGACTGAGTTTGGGCTGAGGGACCTGGCTTTGCATTTTGTAAAACAGATACTAGCAGATCTTCCCAAGATATGTACGGCTCATTCTCACAGCCCACAGAGAACACTTACTCCACGAATGCACGGCCATGGGGTCATCACCTGTCCTGTGGCCTTGGTGAGCCTGATCCCTCATGCCGGGCACCCACACGGCCTGCGTGCCTTGCTAGACTTGAGTTCGTAGCTCTTTGAGGAGCTCTCGGGCCAGTTTTCCTGATCTAGGGCTTTCAATACCAAGACGATCCCATCTGTACAAGGTCTGGTCCAGAAAGCCAATGATCTCGTGAGTTATCTCAGCAGTGCGAGCCATCTGCAATGAGGGCAGAAGAAAAGGCAAATGAAACACTTTTCAGACAGACTTGTGCCTTTGTCCAGAGACGGAGCGTGACCACCTCGTCCCTGAAAGGCATCCTAGTTAGCATTTCCATCAGTTCCAAGGCAAAGCACTGACGGCTCTGGTTTTCAAGGTGATTAGCACGGCGAGTCTGTCTCCAGGGCCGGCTGCACAGTGAGCGGTGCCATTTCCTAATAAGCCTCCTCACATGGAGCTCAGCTGCCAACAGCCTCAGACTCACAAAGGCCACAGACAAGCGCTGCTCGCAATCAGAAGCATTTCTCAGAATGCCAGTCACAAGTTGTGGGATGATCGGCTGTGGGGAACAAAGGCAAATGAGCATGCCGTGACTTGACTTTCAGCAAAAGGCTCACACAAATATGAGAACTGGAAAATGCCACCTGCTTTCACAGAAACAGCCCAGGAATCTGGCATTCCTGGGCAAGCAACCGGACCTACTTGCTTGTTAATAGGCCTCTAAGGCTTTAACACCTGATTCTCACAGGAGAGCAGGAGACACAGCCTCAAGGCATTCATACTTGTTGGTGCCTGTATTTTCCTAAAAACTGAGTTGAGAAAAAAGGGAAGGGTAAGAATCTGAGTGGGGAATTTCTGGTTTAGGCACAAGCAGTATTAAGAAGCCTTAAGTTTTTGAAAGTCATCGACATTCATTTAGTGTGTATCAGCTCATATAGAACCCTCAAATGTTTAATTAACCAGAGCAGCCCAAGGCCAACTTCCTCTGGAAGGGCTCTGCGTTGGGCCATTCTGGGAGGGTGAACTCCCAGACTATTGGGACTATTCTAGTTTTACTGCCACACTCTTCAGAACTGGGCCTTCCACCTGGTGACCACCAGTAAACGGAGCCTCTTGTGGCATGTGCACCATGTGAGGCATGGGGACGCAGGGCTAAGAGTAAATGATGTGGGACAGACTGTGACATTTGTCTATTCCCTTCCCCCTGCTGCTGCTGGCAGCAAAAAGGGCCTGCAGCCAGTCCACCGGGGTCAGTGCAGCCCACACGGGGGCTCAGGCTGTAGCCCTGGTACATGCCAGTGTGTCCCTGGGTGTGTATTACTATCACTTGGTTTTCACTCAGAAATGACAGGCACATAATGCTGATGGCCTTCAGCAGATGCAGCCTGTCCTTCATCAAGGAAACAATGTGAGCTGGCTGTGGACCCCTTTCAGAGTTAATTTGCCACCCAGACCCTGAGCGGGAGGACTATCCCCTGCTTAGGGGCTGGCCATGCCCATGGTGACAGGCTTGGCCATGCCCACGGTGACAGGCTCAGCCACGTCTGAAGCAAGGCCAAGTTGTCATTAGAAATCCAACCTTGCATCTTCCTTACATGACACCAACACTCCTAGGTGGGCCCCATCCCGGGTCTCTAGTAACATGCAAAAATCCACAGCTCTGCAGCCGCCTGGAAAACCTGCCTCCCTGCTGACCTTGGCTGGTGCACCAAGAGTGGGTTCAATTCATTTTGAGTTCCAACGACTAAAGAATGGAACTGTGCATCTCAGAATCTTGCTAACTGCTGCTGTTGTTGCTGTGACCTAGCAACAGGAGGCAGGAGAGGGAGAAGTGTGAATCCAGGTGAGGACAGAAGGTGGAGCCCCAGGGCTGGACTCCACACTGTCCTCTGCTTTGTGCTGGCCTCCTGCAGGTACAAGCAAGGGAGCGAGTGGATGGCCGGGGCAAGCCAGAGTTCCTGTTGAAAGACCAAGAGCCAGAGAGGCAGGAGAACTGCAGGGACACTGGGCAGGGCCTCGTGGATGGAGTTCTGGGGAAAATCAGAGGGCCAAGTTCAGAGAAGCTGATTGTAGAGCCGCCAGGGAGCGGATCTCCAGGTGCCTGGAGAAGAGCTGTGCAGCGCTCACGGCAAAGGCCACACAGGAAGCAGGCTGTGGCAGGACCAGTGCATCCTTTAGGTCAGATGAAGCCACTTGCTCAGGCCATCTCCAAGAGGGTGCAAGGGCTCTGAAGAGAGACAGCGGCCTCTGCTTTGAGCCGCCTCGTCCTGCCTTGAGCTGGCACTGCTCTCCAAATCTGGATGCCAAGACGGAGGGCAGAGCCTGGGACCAGCTGGGAGGTGGCTGTACTTGGGCTGGGTTCTGAGGGTGGAGAGGCCCAAGCTGCAGGAGGGAAAGGCCGTCTCACTAAAGCCGCCATCTGGCTACCACCTGCTCGTTGGCCAAGCAGACCGAGTCCTTTCCAGAGTGCTGTCAGCAGAGAAACCGACAAAGGCCAGGAGAGGCAGGGGTGGTGGGGGGGATCCTTCCCCAGAGGCCCTCCCTGCCACGTGGCCATGGGAGCAAAGACTTCTCATTAGGAAGACTGATGTGTTAACAAAGATGGTTGCAAAACGTCCAAAAGGACAGCACCCAGGAGGCACTTTCACCATGATGGGTGCCCAGATGGCCAGCACCCACCTCTGACAGAGCCAGTGCATGAGTGCCACGCTGGCGTCTGCTCTGGGAATGAGCTGCAGTGTGTCTTCTCTGCGGTGGAACTGACTTGGGGGATGTGATGACAAAGCACTGGGCCCTCCACACTCCTGCAGGTTCCTATTTGCATCAACAGTGGGGGCTGAACCACGTGTCAGGATGGGCTGTCCCGCATAGGACTCAGGCTGAGCCTGGCAGCATCATTCTTACTCCCAGCAGCATTTCTGTGGGCCAGTTTTGAAAGCAATCCACTTAGAACGTGAACTCAAAGTTTCCTCTAAGTAGACGGAAATGTGGTGAGAATAACTGAAGCAGAGACCTGGGTGTCTCTGGGGCGCTTCCTCTGGGTGACCTTCTCTCACACCCTGTTGGCAGGGCTGGGGCCACCAAACTCCCATGCTGACCCCGCTGCTGAGCAAGGCAAGCCCAAGCCATGGGCAGCTCCTCCACTCACAGGCACCACAGGGTTGGGGAGCAAGTGCCTGAGCTAGAACTGTTCTTGTCACGGGCAGGACTGACCATTGCCCCACTGCTCCTCCCTTGGTCCCTCATGAGCACCTTTCCAGTGTTTCTATGAGTTCAACTTTCTGGATCCCACTCATAGGTGAGAGCATGCATTTGTCCTTGGGTCTGGCTTATTTGGCTCAGCGTAGAGCCTGCTAGGCTGGTCTGCATTGCTGCGGTGTGCATTTTATGATAGATTTCTGAAAGCACTCTGCGCTGGGGCCGGGCCGAAGAAGTGGCACCAGGCATGTGGCAGTGGGTCGTCTTCTGCCCTGGGCTGCCCTCAGCCTCTTGGATCCAACTCAGCTGAGATGCCGGCACATAGGAGGCACAGCCCGGGCCCGCTCCGAGATGCCAGCACGTGGGAGGCACAGCCCGGGCCCGCTCCGAGATGCCAGCACGTGGGAGGCACAGCCCGCGCCCGCTCCGAGATGCCAGCACGTGGGAGGCACAGCCCGGGCCTGCTCCACAGGACTGTCCCACCAGGATGGAGACAGCCTGCTGGCCCTGGCTGTCAAGTGTGTCATTTGTTACAGGGACTTTCTGCACATGGACACACATTCCCGCCGGGCCCGGCCTGGGCAGGAGCAGGAGGGAATGCTCCTCTCTTGAGTTGACTGCTGGCTGCACAGGGGTTGTTGGTTTGTGAAATTCATCAAGCTGTATATTTTCTGTATGTATATTATATGTCAAAAAAAAGTATAAATAAAACAAAAAATGTGACAAAACTCCCAGAGTCAGCTTGCTGGTGCTCACTTGTTATGAGTGTCTTTTAAAACCGTGGTGAATATACATAACATGTGCTGTTGTAGCCACTTTTGTGATTCGGTGGCACGCGGTATTGCACGACCTTCAGCACCGCGCATCTCCTGCCCCTTTCCATCACCCCAACACCGACTCTCCAGCCCCTGCCTCTGGGAAACTCTGTTTTACTTCCTCTCCCTGGACTTGTACTCCAGGTGCCTCATCTAAGTGGACTCATACAATGTCCTGGTGTCTGGCTTATTTCACGAAGCAGCGTCTTCAAGGGTCATCCTGCTACAGCCCTGTCCGAACTTCCTCCCACCTTCAGGCTGAACACCACGCTCTCATGGGCACAGATCATACTGTGCACTGCTCATTCCTCTACAGGCATTTGGGCCGCCTCTGCTTGCTGGTTGCTGCAAACAGTGCTGCCTGAGCACGGGCCAGATGGCTGTCCAGCCCCGGCTTTTGGCTCTCTTGGGTACAGAGCTAGGTACCGCCGGCCACGCAGTAACTCTGGGTTCGGCTGTTTGAGGAGTCACGCCACTCTTCTCCACAGCAGCGGCGTGATGTTGGCGTCCCCACTCGGTTCCTGCGTGTCTTCAGGGGTTTCCTTCCCCTCCTGCTCAGAGCCATCCTGACGGCCGTGCGGTGCACATGGCTGTGCTTCGCCTTTCCCTGGCCCCTCATGTCCTTTCCGTGAGCATTTTCCACGTGTCTACTGGCCATTTGTACATCTTCTTTGGAGAAATGTCTATTCATTTTTGAATCGGGTTGTTTATCTTTTTGTTGTTGAATTGTAAGAATTACGTATTCTGAATACTAAACTCTAACCATATACATTATTTCTAAATATATTCTCCCATTCTGTGAATTGTTTTCACTTTCTTGATGGTATCCTTTGATGCACAAAAGCTTTTAATTTTCATAAAGTCCAATTTCACTATTCTTTTCTTTCATTGCTGTGTCTTTGGTATCATATCCAAGAAATCATTGCCAAACCTAATGTCACGAAGAGTGCTCACTTTTGTCTTAGACCATTCTTTACCCCTCAAGTGAAGTGGGCTTCAGGAAGGATTTCTTTGTAATAAACCAATTTTTAAAAAATTAACAAAATTCTTTGCACTGTTGCAGTGAGAGGCGTTGTAGATACTTTGTGAGCGCTTTCTCATTGTGGCCTTCTTTCTTTCTGTGAGGAGGAAGAGAGCAGCACACTGCAATGGAAAGAAATGGACGTAGGGGGACAGGAGACCTGGCTTCTACTGTGGGCTCTGGCAGCAAGCCACGGGCCCAGGAGACGGCATCTCCTTTCTCTGAGCCTCTGTTTTTTCCTCTGTGACATAAAGGTGCTGCAAGGGGCAGGCTCTGGGGTCCATCCCAGCTGTCAACCTCCCTGACCATTTATCCGTGCTGGGTGACATCCTGGTACACACATTTTGCAGAGGCCAGACCCTCCGGCAGGTAACCCACCTCTCACCTGGAGCAGAAATGACAACTAGGGCGCTGGACCACAGGGAGACTTACCAAGGTGATGGCATCCCGGGCAATCGTGTGGCCTCCAGGAGCCCAGAGCAGGAAGTTGAGGAGAAGGTGCCTGATCAGCTGTTGTGCAGGAGCTCTGGGGTCTGTGTCTGTGCCCTGTCCCGCTGCCATCTGGAGGTCCTGGACAGAGAGGGTGGTGCTTCTGGACACTGCCAGGAGGTGGCCCAGAACAGCCTTTACCTGGACCTAGGCAACAGCATTTGACAAGGGAGAGGTTAAGAAGAGTCAGGACAGACACGATTCTAGGATTTATTTATTTGCTTTGAAGCAATCCCCCAAAAGGGGTGAGGACCCACCCTGAGAGGGAGCTAGTCAGCGGCGGAGTGTGCACTCAACTCCACACAAACCCAGATGGGCGGAATGGAAACTGCCTGACTTTCTTTCGTCTTGCTCACCAAGCAGCCAGGGCACCATGCCAGGAATTGACCTCTTTTTTGTATAAAAAGAAAAACAGAAAAGTCCTCAGCAGAATGTAGTCAGATTTTTACACTGTGGGGAAAAAGAACAAAAGGCTCCTTGCAGACTCGCCCATCACAGCCACAAATCAACTGAAGCCCCTCGCGGCCGGACCCCTGCCGAGCCGATGTTCCCATACAAATGTGGGCTTGCCTTTGCTTCCTGCTGTATTCGGGGTAGGGGTGGGGGATGGGGGGAACACGCATACACGAGCACACACGTACACGCACGGTCACACACACACACATGCACACACAAGAACAACACGTTCGTTTTAGGTGCTGGAACAATCTGTTCATACATGTTTAATGCTCAAGCACAGGCCACAAGTCTGTGGAATCCACCTGATAATGGTAACTGTGCATCTGCGGGTTTTTACATAAAAAATATTTATTCCATGCTGAGATGTTTCTGCTTGCTACAAGAATGGTACACCCAGTCGTGACTTGGAAAACAAAGCAAAAACTGAAAGCCCATAGATACAAATGCCACGTGGAACTCATGAACAGCTATGTTCCATCATTTCTGAAAGAATACTTCGGCCTGTTCTGAGAATTCCCATGACTGATTTTACGGATTTTGTGTGAGGCGTTTTTTTCCCTGGAAGTCAAGGCCTCATTCAATGAAGCCTGTCATAAACTCCAGTACACTGGGCGTGTTGTGTGAGCTCCTCTGACCACAATACGAGACCGTGAGAAACTGCGCCATCAGGCTCTTCCACGGGGAGCGACAGCAGCCCAGGCCGTGCCCTCCCCACCTCGCCCCTCAGCCGGGCCCAGCCTGCCATGGTCTGAGGGTGTCGACAGGAGCCCAAGGCCATTCCGCCATCTAAACAGGTCTGCAAAACTGCCAGGGTCTGGGAGGCTATGCCTTTATGTCCATTTTTCCTCTTGACACAGCTGCCTTCCTGCCCTTGTCCAGTGGTCCCCAAGACGGGGTCTTCTTCCTTCCGTTTGTCCCAGACTGTCTTTCCCTTCAGGTGCTGTCCGTGCCCGGAGCTTCCACTTGAACACCAGTAACTTTAAACGCTTTCTAAGGTTTTCAGGAGAAAGACAGAAGCTTTCTTTTCTTTTTAAAGTATTTTTTATCCTGCATCATAAAAACTTATATATGTTTACTATGGAAAACTTGAAAAGAGAAAACGAAAAACCATTAAAATGATCTATGACTCTACCATCCAAAAAGATGCACTGTTAATAATTTGGTTTATACACTTCTTGTGTTTTTTCCATGCATTAGACCATACCACTCACGACACATAACACTTTGTATCTTTCATTTTTCGCTCCATAATGTACTATAACCAGTTCATTATCTATAAAACATGTTCTTCAAAAACATGATTTTTCTTTCTTTCTTTTTTTTTTTTTTTTGGAGAGAGTCTTGCTATGTCACCCAGGCTAGAGTGCAGTGGTGCAATCTCTGCTCACTGCAACCTCTGCCTCCTAGGCTCAAGAGATCCCTCCACCTCAGCCTCCCGAGTAGCTGGGACTATAGGCACGCACTACCACACCTGGCTAATTGCTTTATTTTTTTGTGTGTAGAGACAGGGATCCATGTTGCCCAGGCTGGTCTCAAACTCATGGATTCAAGTGATCCAGCCGCCTTGGCCTCCCAAAGTGCTGGGATTACAGGCATGAGCCACTGCACCTGGCCAAGAGCATGATTCTTCACGGTGTATAATAGAATACTATTCCATGGTTAGGATATACCACCATTTATTTGGCCAGTAGCCTTACTGTTGAAAGTTTAGGCCATTTCGTTGTATTTATGAACAATGCTGTGCTGAATATTCTTGTATATGTGTCTTTGCATGGATCAAATAGAGAATTACTCTAGGGTCACTCCTAGAAATGGATGACAGGGTTACAGCTGTGAACCTTCCCTGATTCTCTTGTTATTTTTCCTTGTTTTCTCCAGTCATCATTGTACCTTGCCTGATTCTTAAAAGTATCTAAACAGACTTGTTTGTTTATTTTGTTGTGATCCAATTCAGTTGGCAAAAGGAGATGAGCTCTGGCTGGTGGAGAACATGGCTTGCCTACGAGTGGGAAAGGCCTTCTCACGGGCAGGACACATCCCGGGTGAGGACAGGCTTGCTGTCTGTACCCATGCTCTTCACCTCAAAGACAGCCACAGAGGCAGCGACACCAGCGCCAACACATGACGCGGGGATACGCAACCAACGGATTTAGTTGTGCCTTTTTAAGTAAGGCACATGCACAGATCCTGCTAATTTCAATCCAGTCTCATCAGAATCATGCTTCACAGTTTGTCTCTCAAGCCCCCTAACAGACCACCAAGGGATTACAGCTCACAAAACGCAGGGAAACAAGAGGTATGTATCACTCATTCAACTAACTCCCTTCCCAGGATGCCACATACACCAGTGCCTCAGGCAGCCACCAGCGAGGAAGGGGCTCTGGAGTCACCAATAGGAGCACTGGACTGAACCGCCAGGCAGATGGACACCTGTGAGAGAAAGGCAGGGAGGGAAACGGACGCCTGCCATCACCCCGCTCGCAGTGAGCCAATCCATTCTCATCCAAAATCCTAGGCGTTGCCCGAGGGAGAGTTACGCAAAGGTTTTGTTATTTTTTCTTCAAAAAAGGACTAAGTTAGCTAGTAGAAAATGTGCCAATGTAGAACTTTCTAGAAATTAAGTGTTACTGGATAATTTCCTTTTTTTTTCAAAGATGGAGTCTCGCTCCGTCATCTAGGCTGGAGTGCAGTGGCGCAATCTCAGCTTATTGCAACCTCCGCCTCTCGGGGTTCAAGCGATTCTCCTGCCTGAGCCTCCTGAGTAGCTAGGACTACAGGTGCACACCACCACGTCCGCCTAATTTTTTGTATTTTTAGTAGAGACTGGGTTTCACGGTGTTAGGATGGTCTCGATCTTTTGACCTTATGATCCACCCACCTCAGCCTCCCAAAGTGCTGGGATTACAGGCGTGAGCCACTGCTCCAGGCCTATTTCTTTATATTTCAAAAGTGACTCTCTGTCAGTACCCATTAAGGTGACAGAATTGAGCACATATCTACCAACTTAGCTTATACAGAATCAAATAAGACAGAATATAAAAGGGCTTTTGAAACCATGAGTACTCCATACATCTTATTACTATGAAAAACATCAACCAGGATTTTCCTTAATTAGTTTAATGTGATCTTTTAAAGGGGAAGAAATAAAAAGCTTTCTTTTTAATCAGACAGCAATACTCAAATACATATGTGCATTTGATAATTTCTTCACAAAGCTTTATTTCTGAACTAAAATAAATTATTAACAAATTTCAACATTTAAAATCTAAAAATATTTTTCTTTCCTATGCCATGCAAGCCTTTAAACAAATAAAATGCAGCCGGGTGTGGTGGCTCATGCCTGTAACCCCAGCACTTTGGGAGGCTGAGGTGGGTGGATCATGAGGTCAGGAGATCAAGACTGTCTGGGCCAACACGGTGAAACTCTGTCTTTACTAAAAATATAAAACAATTAGCTGGGCGTGGCGGCGAACTCCTGTAGTCCCAGCTACTTGGGAGGCTGAGGCAGGAGAATTGCTTGAACCCAGGAGGCGGAGATTGCAGTGAGCTGAGATTGCGCCACTGAACTATATATAGCCTGAGCAACAGTGTGAGACTCTATCTCAAAAAACAAAACAAAACAAAGCAAATAAAATGCTCAGACATCTTTACTAGTCCCTGTGTTTTCAAACAACAGAAAATACAAAGCCAAGAAGAGCAGTGCTCCATACAAAATGAGCATTGTTCTCTTTAACTACTAAAACCAGCAGAGAGCACCGGCAGTTTAAGTTTCAAGAGCCTAGCAAATAAATGCTTGCAAGGGAGGTGCCAATCCCTTTAATCAAAGCACTGCTTCCTGTAAGTATTATAGTCCACATAAAATAACAACTGCTTTTTGCCACAGACAGTTATCCAGTCCCATACTTAGCTGCTCTGTTATTTAGGAAATGACCAAGTCCTGTTTCAGAAGCAAAGTGGTTAATATCATGTGATTACTTTAGGAAGAGATGTAAACAAAGCCAGTAATGTAAGGATCTGTTGACTGATCCAAGAAAGCAGACAGTGAAGATGGAAGCAGCCCCAGCCAGGCTGCTGGGGAGCAAGACAGGGCACTGGCTGTGGCCAGGCTATGCTATGGGCACACCCCTCAGAACAGTCCCCCCTGCATGGCATGCCCTGGAGAACAAGACCCCAGGACAGATGTGGCAGCTAAGTAACAACAGATCAAATGACCTCCCGGAAGAAAGGGTGTTTTCCAGGAGAACGGGCTGGCAGTCTATCATCTCTGGCCACGGGGGCGCAGGGCAAAGGGGGAAGGAGAGCGTTTCTGACCATAAGGCTGGAGGTCACCACGCCTGCACGTTGCCACAACATATGCCATCTGTGGGCAGAGCTCAGGTGTCACAAAAGCCAAGCCCACAACAGAGCCCCTCTCTGCAGGCTCCCCTCAGCCCCCAGAGCCCATCCCAAACACACGTAGTGGGGCCTGCTACCCACCATGGTCTGTGTTCTCTGCTGCCTCCCATCACAAGGTCCGTAGTAGAAGGCCAAGAGCCACAGCAGGGCCGTGGGGGGTTCCGCTGCCGACATCAGTAACTGCTCGGCCGCCATCTCAGCCCACCCTCCAAAGTGAATGAACAGGAACCAGCTCTCAAAGGGACTTCTGCAGGACCTGGAACAGAGCCAGAACACATGGCAGCCAGCAACCTGAATTTTTCCTCCTTTGGGTTTTTAAAGCAACTTTAATGTTTGCCAGTTGTACTTATCCACTTAAGTGCAATCTGCAAGGAATACAAGTTAAACTCAGAAAACTGGTCTGAACGCCACTCTGCACCATCACAGGACATCGAAAGAATGCCTCTCAGGGCACCAGTGAGGCCTGAGGCCTTCAGACATTAGTCTTTAACCCAGGTACCTTCAGTGAGGACAAGCACTGGGGAAGCAAGATTGCGGGCGTGACCAGTAGGAACGTCGCAGGATGTGGCGGCACATCTCCCTGCCTTCTGAGATGCAGAGAAAGAGGTGGAAGGTGGGACGCAGGCAGAAACGTGGGCTGCTTCCTTCAAGACACAAGGTTCGGGTGGATGTTGCAGGAACTATGAATTTCTCTTTTTGGGAGGGGGACAGAGTCTTACTCTGTCGCCCAGGCTGGAGTGCAGTGGCACTGTCTTGGCTCACTGCAACCTCCTCCTCCCAGGTCCAAGAGATTCTTCTGCCTCAGCCTTCTGAGTAGCTGAGAATACAGGGCACACCACCACGCCCAGCTAATTTTTGTATTTTTAGTAGAGACAGGGTTTCGCCATATTGGCCAGGCTGGTCTCGAACTCCTGACCTCGTGATCCGCCTGCCTTGGCCTCCAAAACGCAGGGATTACAGACATGAGCCCAGATGCAACTACAAATTTTTAGCAAGCTGCTGATACCACGTGTGCACCAATGCCAGAAAGTTAAAGCGTTTGCGAAGCTATCCCCTGGCCACACTGGCAAATGGGAGTTGCAATACTTGTTTAAGGGCAAAATTTGCTCGAGATGAGGACCCACTAATTGTGTGCAGTGCCAGTTCAGCAGGTTAACATCTCCCTTGGAGAGAACAGAACAGACCGGCTGAGATCACGTTAGATGCAAACTTTCCTTCTGGTCTGAGGCAGCGGGTGGAACAGGAGTGTTCCTGGCCCCTCTGCAGTGCCTTTGCTGGATCCAGCTCCCTGTTCCTCCGCCTGGCCCAGGGAATTCCCACGCTCTAGGCACTGTCCTTGCCTCCCTGGTCACTGCTGTCCTCCTGCTCCAGTCCTCCCTGAGAACAAGTGGTTAAATGTTCTACAATTGAGCAACAGAGAGGAAAAGACAGGAGGGTGGAGTACTGGTCTTACTCCCTCTTCCCCAGGAAGAGCTCATGCTCTGGCGGCCACACTGGCAGTAGGCTGGGTTAGGCTGTATCAGAGTGAGGGGGGACTCCGCCATGCCTCTGCCCTGCAGGCACCATGTCGGGGTACAGAGACGCACAGAGCAGCGGGGCCCCGTCATGTTCCCTGCTCTCAGGTTGGCAGTGTGCCCAGATCAGGATCACAGACCAGCCTGGTCCTTCCCTCTCTTCCATCAGTAGCTAAAGGCACAAGGCAGTCCCTCATGGCCACCTGAAAGGTGACTCCTGACCCCACGGTCTGGGTTGAGGTGGGAGCCCCAGGAGGCCCAAGTCCTGCTCCACTGTGCCACACGCACCCTTTCTGGTTGCTATTTTATTACAATCTCCACGCATTTTGACATCACACATTATGAGTATGGCAGAGAGGGTGGGTAGGAAGAAGAGAAAAACATTCAGGGCACCTGCAGCACAGCATTTCTCGATCACAGGGTCGGCCATTCACGCCACTTCCATCTACTTCCATGTCCCTGAGTTAAGATTCTTTGAGGTTCAGCTCTGTGTAATGCCAGGACAAGCACGGAGGGTGCGTAAGGGGCTGATTGGCCATTGCAGGCTGTTTATGTGGCCAACCCTGGGGCCCCCACTGGCTGCAGGTCTTTTCTGTCTGCTCTCCATTGGTAAGAATCGTGGTGGGGAAGAAGCGAGCATCCTGCACCCAAGCCATCAATCACGGAGCTGGACATAGGCACATCACCCATCATCTGTGTTGGCTCGGGGTGAGATTACAGAGAATGCCAAGAGCAAAAAGTGGCAAAAGGAACAGATAAGATAGTCTTAGTAGGCTTAGCAGAGACAATGAATAAAATTATTTGTACTCTAAAAGAAAGGGACTTAAGAGGAAGCCAAAGAATGTTATGACACAAGGAATTTAGCCAAGCCTACACGTGAATGCTTTCAGGAAAGTTACACACATAAGAGGGTACCTACAACACTGTTAGAAATCAACAGGCTGGCGCAGCAGCCACACCTGTAATCCCAGCACGATGGGAGGCCAAGGCAGGGGAATTACTTGAGCCCAAGAGTTAGAGGCAATATAGCAAGACCTCTACAAAAAAATTTAAGAAAAAAAAAATTTAACTAGGTGTAGTGGTACACACCTGTAGCCCCAGCTACTCAGGAGTCTGAGTTGAGGATCACCTAAGCCCAGAAATTTGAGGCTGCAGTGAGATGTGATCATTCTACTGCACTCCAGCCTGAGCGACAGAGCAAGACCTTATCACTAAAAATTAAAAAAAAAAAAAAAAAGAATTTATTTAAAATAAACTTTCTTATTTTTAGAGATATTTATTAGAGAGAAGGAAAAATAAGCATTTAACATTCCACCGTACTGTGCAGAAGTTTCAAATTTCCTTCCCTAGAGAGGTAGAGAGAAGACCAAAGGACAGAAACAAGTGCCCTTTTCCTTCTGCATGGCCAGGGGCTTCCAACAGCTGGGCACTGCTTTTCCTAAGCTTTCTTCTTTTTCTGTTATGCCTGTGTATTTCAAAAAACCAGACATTACATAGAAACATTTCGATACAGGTATCGACACACGCATACAGGTGCATGCCTATTCATCCTGACCTGCTCCAAACCATCCGTGCAGCCATGCGCCTCCTTCACTCCTCACTTTGCCGTAGTGCTCACCTGTTTGTCCCAGACCAGTAATTCCTTCCTCTGTCAGCCCTGCTCAAAAGGCAGATGAGGATCTAGGGAAACGGTGTGTGAAGCAGATTTGGGTGTGGTGTTTGCTTACCCATGAGTCTGGTCTTCAACTGCTTTTCTGAGCAGTTCAGAAATGTGCTTCAATGTCTGGAGCCACTGTCCCTGAGGGACATCTGCAAGTGGAAAAAGACATGTCAGAGGGCAAGTGAGAAAAAGTCAAGCCCATGAGGAACCATCTGAAGCAAAGACCTGAAGAGTCGTTGGGAGATGCCCTTTTCTTCTGGTTCACGGAACTCAACACTGTTCTCATGCTCATCCCAGCTAGTATCTATCTCTTAAGCCTGAGAAAGTAAGATCTGTCCATGTTACACAGAGCTGAACCTCAAAGAATCTAATCATCTTATTTAGCGTTTTTTTGTTTTTTTTTTTTTTGGACAATGTTCTTGCTCTGCCAGAGGCTGGAGTGCAGTAGCACAATCTTGGCTCACTGCAGCCCCAACTTCCTGGGCTCAAGCAATCCTCCTACCTCAGCCTCCCCAGTGCCTGGGACTACAGGGGTATGTCATCATGCCCAGCTATTTAATTTTTTGTACAGATGAGATCTCACTGTTACTCAGACTTGTCTCAAATTCCTAGGCTCAAGTGATCCTCCCCACTTGGCCTCAAGTAATTTTTAATTCAGGTATATGGAAGTAGCTAGAGTCTGCATAAGCAGCCCACCCCGAGGCTGAGAAATGCCATGTTGCAGATGCCCCAGGTTTCTTCTTTCCTACCTGCTCCTCCATCACTAATGTGTGATTTCAAAATAGATGGAGACCGTAATAAAGCAGCCAACAAGGAATTAGGAATAGACTGCCTGACTGTTTTCCTAGGCTATGATGAATTCAGAATATGATTTCAAGTAGTGGGAAAAAAAGGCCAGGAAAAAAAAGTAAGTGAGCATTATTGCAAACAAATGTCTTTTCTTGATTGAACTACTCTGGCTTCACAATCATCCCGTGGTTTTAAACACATCTGAGGAGCACATATCTGCAGTTCGACACAGCATCTGTGAAAGTTTTCACACAGTGATAGATGCTGTGATCGAACACACAAGGAAGGCCAGGCCAGTGATGGATGAACTGCCGCCCTCCCCAAGGCCAGCCCTCTCTGAGCTCCCCCAGCCCTTAGAGCACAGCCTTTTGAAGGCATTTTTCATTTCTTCTTCTTCTTATTTATATATTTATTTTGCTTTTCCTCCACTTGTAGTTCCTAGATGGTTAGTGCTTGTAAGTGATCATCTTTTATGTCCCCTCCCCTGGCCGTCACAATGGGTAGGAAATACATTTCTGATAAATAGAAGATTATGCTACTAAAAAACACTTCTTCAATTTGCGACCATAACACTCATTGTTTCCAAAAGTAACATACAGACAGCTCTTCTAGGAATGAGCACAAAAGGTTCTTGTACTTCTGCTTGAAGCCACCTATTTGTATTTGGGCATAAACAGTTACACAAATGGATAGGCAGGGGTCTGAGCCCGTGCCCGCACACCACCTCGCCGTTTGCTCAGTTTCCTAACTAAGACACCACCAACACCTCCAGTACCTTTTCTGGAGCTCACTCAGTGTCCACTGTGGGCTGACTTCAGGCTTTGCTGATCTGACCTAAGCTGTAAGGTAAACCCTGGGAGAGTGAATTCCTCATTTTTCTGTCTTGTTAATAAAGTTTCCCATTGTGTTCCCAAAGGTTTTCATAAAACTGTCACCCAGAGATAACACTCCCAGCTCCAGCAACTGAGAGGACAATGTCAGAGGGTCACCCTAGGCGAGAACTTATATATTCTAGAGAAAGAGGAATTTAGGTTTTGTAAAATGCTGTGAAACTTTGAATCATCTGCATTTCTCAAGCAAATCTACTCACTCAAGTCTCAGAAAAAAAGCAGGCCTGGCTGGGGGCAGTGGCTCACACTTGTAATCCCAGCACTTTGGAAGACAGAGGTGGGTGGGTCACGAGGTCAGGAGTTTGAGACCAGCCTGGCCGAGATGGTGAAACCCTGTCTCTACTAAAAATACAAAAATTAGCTGGGTGCGGTGGCAAGTGCCTGTAATCCCAGCTACTCGGGAGGCTAAAGCAGGAGAATTGCTTGAATCCAGGAGGCGGACGTTGCAGTCACCAAGATCATGCCACTGCACTCTAGTCTAGGCAACAGAGCAAGACTCTGTCTCAAAAACAAAGAAAGGGAAATGTGACTAGCTTGTTCCCTTCCCTCTCCTCCCATGCACTGATAAGACACCTTTCTGGCTGGCACAGTATGTGCCCATGTCAGGGCTGCCTGCCTTCAGGTTTCAGGCCTCAGAGGAAAAGGATGCCCTTATTCTCTATTTCTGAAATGTCTCCTAAGCATGAGCTAATAGCCACATTCCTGGATCAACACCAGTCAAATGAAGGCTGGAACCATCACTTTCCCAACTGGACAGCCTTTGGAAGGCTGGCAAAGGAAATCAGGAAAAGCCGTGGGTGAAGCGGATTACTGAACTCTCTCAAAATCCTTCCCTTAGCGTAGTTAAGGTAAACTTCCCCTGCATTTCCTCAGCTTCATCCATCATTTTATCTTTTCCTCTGCAACAAGGCTGCACAGAATAGAAAGAATGAAAAGCAAATGAATGTACTGTTTTATTCTGACTCAGCCAAGTCTTAGCCTGTTCCTGGCATCTGGTTGATGTGGTTAGGACCAGCAGAGCCTGTGTTGTCTGGACACAGACTAGCAAAACCTGCCAGAGACCACTGGTTTGTTTTGTTTTGTTTTGTTTTTTCTTTTTCTTCTTTTGGTAAGTGATCACAACTGGGAAGCCAAGCAGACTCTCATATCAAAATCCATGGAATGTGGGATCCTGGGGGCTTAAAGGGATCTTAGAAATAACCAATCCTCCCTCATGCTATAGATAAAGGCCTGGTGGGGAGGTCATGGTTTGACAGTGCTCTTCCCAGGAAATCATTCTGATGTGGGCAAAGTCAACCCTAACTCACCTTGAGGGTCTTGCAGCAGCACCATGGCAAGAGATGGAGAAGTGTACGGAAAGTAGGTCTTGAGTGCAAACCGCAGCTGCACAGGATGGAAAGTCCAAAGAGCATGAACATTAGAATTAAAAGGGGGTTAGGAAAATACAAAACTCTGAGTCCCTCTGCCCAAAAAAGACCCACCAGTACTAACACGGTCAGAATATTTCTTAAACATTTATTTTTGAAAAATAAGCTCCCAACAACTTCATATTTTCCAGAATAATTAACCTTTTGAAATCTCCTTCTGGGACTTAAGAAAAAAATAATAAAGTTATGCTCTTGATGTCTTTATGAGTTCTACCTCACATGAACCCAATTATACAAATAAATCCTCTATTTTCAGTAAGATTTACCAAAGCAGTTGTAAGATGTCAGGTATTCTGCATTTTGTTTTTGTTGTTTTTATTGAGATGGAGTCTCGTTCTGTTGCCCAGGTTGAAGCTCAGTGGCACAATCTCAGTTCACTACATCCTCCATCTCCCGGGTCCAAATGTTCTCCTGCCTTAGCCTCCCAGAGTAGCTGGGATTATAGGTGTGTGCCACCATGCCAGCCTAATTTTTGTAGTTTTAGTAGAGATGGGGTTTCACCATGTTGGCCAGGCTGACCTTGAACTCCTCACCTCAAGTGATCCGCCCGCCTCAGCCTCCCTAAGTGCTGGGATTATAGGCATGGGCCACTGCACCCAGCTCAACATGGCTTTTAAAATAATAACAAAAGCATAAAACAACAGTGCTCACATTTTGAGGGCCAAAGAGCTACAGCTATCTCTGCCCCCAAGAGGCACAGAAGCTTTTTAAAAAATTGATATAAAATCTATAAAGTATGGAGTACATGGACTGTAAATACATGAGGTTTGGTAAATGTGCAAATCCATGTGACCACCACAACATCTAATGAAGACACAACATTTCTATCACCTCGAAAAGTTTCCTTCTAACACTTAACCATCATTCCCTCCACCCCACCCTGGCAACCAATGCTTTGATTTTGATAGAGAGATTAGTTTTGCTTATTCTTGACTTTCGTGTAAAGGGAACATAAAGTATGTTTTCTTTTGTTTCTGGCTTCTTGGGCTCAACATGTTTTAAAGCCATGTTACTGTGTATGAGTAGTTCATTCTGTTTTTATTGCTCAGCAGTCTGAATTGTATGAATATGCCATAATCTGCTTAGCCATTCCCCACTTGATGTGCATTTGGGCTGCTTTCAGTTTGGGCTGTCATGCATAAAGCTGCAGCTAACATTCATATGTATGTCTTTTTGTGGACACGTGTTTCTGTTTCTTCTGGGTGCATACCATCGGAATGGAATTGCTGGGTCACAGAATAGATGCTTGTTTGACATTCTAGGGCCATATGGTTTTCCAGTGTTGCACCATCTCACTCCCTCCAGCAATGTATGTGCATTCCAGTTGCTCCACATGCTCCCCAGCATTTGGTGCTGTCAGTCTTACCAATTTCATCCATTCTAGTGGCTGGGGAACACTACCCTACGAATACTCGCTTTCCTAACTGTTTCACTCCACACTTTCCTGATGGCATATGATGCTGAACAATTTCCATGTGCTTACTGCCAACTTACATTTCTTTTTTGAAAGTATATATTGAAGTCTTTTGTCCGTTTTAAAAACTGGTTTGTTTCTTAGGGAGTTGTACGAGATCTTCATATGTTCTAGACACATAACCTCTGTCATATACGTGTATTACAAATATTTTCTCGTAGCTAATGGCTTGCTATTTCAGTTCCTTAATGATATGTATCAAAGAATAGAAATTTTAAATTCTTTCGTATTTTTTGAGATAGGGTTTCACTGTGTTGCCCAAGCTGGAGTGCAGTGGCATGATCACAGCTCATTGCTGCCTTGATCTTCCAGGCTCAAGTGATCCTCCCACCTCAGCCTCCTGAGTAGCTAGGGCAACAGGTGTGTGCCACCACATTCAGTGAAATTTTGTAATTTTTTTGTAGAAAATGGGTCTTACTTCGTTGCCCAGGCTGGTCTCTATCTCCTGGGCTCAAGAGATCCTGCTTTGGGCTTCCAATGTGCTAAATGTGCCCATTAATGCCCCATGATTAATGCCCATCATGGCTAAACAGATTATAGCATGTACAGGTAGTTCATTCTGTTTTTAATGCTCAGAAGTAGTCTGAATTGTATGACTATGCCATAATCTATTTAGCCATGATTATGGCATTAATCATGGGGGCACAGCCTGTAAGCAGGCATGAGCTATATCCCCAGCCTAGAAGTTATAAATTCTGATGAAGTCTAATTTATCCATTTTTCACATAGGGTTAGTGCTTCTGAGAAATCTTAGATTACCCCAATGTCAAAAAGATATATTCTCCTACACTCTTTCTAGGGGCTTTATTGTTCTAACATTATGTTGAAGCCCATGATCCTCTCAAATTAATTTTTGTGTGCTTTACAAGGTAACGGTTGAGGTTCATTTTTCTACTTATGGACATCCAGTTATTCCGGCATCATTTGTTGAAAACTTTCCTTTCCCCATTAAATTGTCTTGGCGTCTCTGTCAAAAATCAATTGACCACATATGCATGGGTCTATATCTGGATTCAATTGTGATCTATGGCTGTCTTTTTGCCAATACCTTACTGTCTTAATTATAGTAGCTTAAAAAAATTTTTTTTAAAGACAGGGTCTCGCCCTGTCACCCAGGCTGGAGTACAGTGGTGCGATCATGGCTCAAGCAGCCTCTACCTCCTGGGCTCCAGCAAACCTCCCACCTTATCCTCTTGAGTAGCTGGGACTACAGGCGTGCATCACCATGCCCAGTTAATTTTTTTTTTTTTTGTAGAAATGGTTGGGGGGTCTCGCTATGTTGCCCAGGCTGGTCTTGAACTCCTGGACTCAAGCAATCCTCCCACCTTGGCCTCCCAAAGTGCTGGGATCAGAGGCATGAGCTGCTGTGCCCAGCTAAGTCTTCACTTTTTGTACAATCTGACATTTCTGCCTTTTTACTAGAATATTTACTTAACTTCCATTTAATTGCTGAAATTAGTGTCATTGTCGGTAGTTTTGAGTTTAGGTCTATCTTTTGACATTGGTTTTCTTTTGTCCCCTCAATTTTTCTTGTTCCTTCAGCAGCCTACCTTTCCATTTGTTGGCACCTTAAGTCAATCAGATTGTGCCAAGGGGCCCCCCACCCCTTCCCAACCTCACATGAGGGCAGCTGGGGGGAGGCAGGAGACTTCTCAGTGTGCTGTCCCTTTAAAGGGCTGATGGCCTCTAGTTTCCGTCTGCTTTCTCAGGTGCTCTGTAGTGCCTTCAAACATATTTCAAAAAATACCTTGCCTGCAGTTTGTCATTTTTATCTGTGGGAGATTTAATCTAGCTCATTACCAGATGCTGTCACGGCTGCAACTAGAACCGGACCTGACCGGCTGTACTGAGCCACTGTGCAGGCTTAGAAAAAGCGGCTTGTCACACACACCTCTATTTCTGCCTACTGTCTAATGGGGCGAACTGATGGAGCTGACTGTGTCCTCCAAACAGGACAGGGGCGAGAGGAAAGGCTGAGAAGAGACAGCAGCACTGATATGAGTGCTTCTGACAATGGGAGAAAATGTAGATTAATGGGATCGCTTATAAACTGTTGCAGGGAATGCAAATGGGCACCAACACTTTTGAAATGAGTCTGGCAGGGTCTACGAAAGCTGAACCTTTGCTTATCGAATACCCAAACACTTCCACTCCTAAGTATCTATCCCAGAGTGTCCAGAGCAACATCGTTTGTAATAAAAGAACAAACCCTGGGAACATCCCAAGTGCTTACCAGCAGCAGGATGGCTATACTGCCATAGGCTTTCACAATGGACTATGCGTAACAATACTTCCCCACAGCCACGTACGGCAACATCAACGAATCTTTGCTGAGTGGAAAAGCAAGTCTCAAAATATTGCACATGGCATACTGCTCTTGTTTGTTTTATAAAGTGCAAAAACAACCAAAACTAAACAAAACATTGTTTAGGCAGTCATATATATGTGACCAAACTATCTTCAGAAAGAGTAAAGGAATAATGAACATAAAATTCAAACCAGAGGTTACCCGGAGGGCTACAGAGGCGGGGAGGAGCACGTGGAGAGACAGGTCCTTATCACTTGTGGCCCAGGTCTTGTTGGGTTTAGAGATATTCATTTTATTAAGAAGGTATGAATGAACAAAACACTAAAAACACAGAGAGAAAAGAGGGTCATGCATCTACCAAATATGACATGAAGGGTTTTGATTAGCTAAAAATGGACATTCAAAAAGGCAGAGTGTCAACAGATGCAGACGGCCATCAGTTAAAAGGGCAGGCACTCAGAAACAGCTCCAGGAAGAGAGAGAAACTAACAGATGCCTACAAAGGCACTGGCAAAGCAGAGACTTTGCTCTCCTTTCCTGAGCTGAAGGTGAGGGTGGCGAACTCCTGTTTGTTTTTGGATCCTGCCCAGCCTCACGCCAGGACCCAGTGTGTGGTCCCACATCCCTAGAGACGTATGCCTGCCCAGGGTACTATTCTCAATTAAAAGCAACTGCAACATCAGTCCAAATCCATAGTGCCCACAGCCAACACAGAGGCTGAGTGTGAAGCTAAGAAGAAAAACAGGCACGAGCTAACTCTCAAGAGCACAGCAGTGCTCCTGAGAGGCCTCTGCTTCAACCCAGGTGTGCTCTGGGAGGCCACAGGCAAAGCTCCCTACAGGCCCATTCCTAATGGGGACTACAAAGAATGCACAAGGGAGAATCAGAGACAATTATAGTCAGGCTCAAAATAACCGTGAGGCCAGCCATGCCTTCTAGCCAAGCCGCCTCCAAATTTCCAAGTGGGACCATGAAAAGAGCAGCCCAGCTAACTTCTCCAGGGAAAGTGAGGGTGGGAAAAAATAAATCACAAATATTTATTGTTGGCCAGGCACAGGGGCTCACACCTGGAATCCAAGCACCTTGGGAGGCCGAGGTGGGAGGATCCCGAACCCAGGTGTTCGAAATCAGCCTGGGCACAGAGGGAGACTCCATCTCTACAAAAAAATTAAAAGTTAGCTGGGAGTGGTGGCTTGCACCTGTGGTCTCAACTATCGGGAGGCTGAGGTGGGAGGATCACTTGAGCCCAGGAGGTCAAAGGCTGCAGTGAGCCATGATCATGCCACTGCGCTGCGGCCTGAGTGATGGAGTGAGACCTTGACTCAAAAACAAAATAAAATAAAATAAAATAAAAATATATTTGTTGCCTTAAAAAGCAAAAACAGAAATCTACCTCATGAAGCTCACAAGGACCGAACACCCCCACCCCAATTTGGACCTGTGGGTGCTTCCCCACAACCGGCACCAAAGCCCCTGTAAGTAGCTGAGTCCTTAAAGACTGAAGACAGACTATTCTCTGGAGAAAAATAAAATAGAAATTGTACTTAAAAAAACAAAAAAAGTAGCCAGGCGTGGTGGCGTGCACGTGAGGTCCTGGCTACTCACGAGGTATAAGGTGTGAGGATCACCTGAGCTTGGGAGGCTGAGACTCCAGTGAGCTGAGATCACGCCACTGTACTCCAGCCTGGGTGACGGAGTGAAACCGTCTCAAAAAAAAAAAAAAAGTAGAAACATCAGCTAAAACCTGAGAGATTTATTTGACATTGTGAGGGACGGATGTGATCTGATGGAGCCAAGCATGACAGCTCTGCTCTTAGAAGTCAAGCTGCAGAGAGCTTCCCGGGGCGGCGACGTACTCTACAGAGGAGGCGCACCGTACCAGCCCCACTCCGGACAGGCAGTGTGCCCCATAAACATTGAATCTGCAGCGTTAGAATTAAAGGCCAAAAGCTGAAAGCTCTCTGGCAGCAAAAGTTCCTGTTTCACAAGGTCACTGTAATTGGTCAGTAACTCTTGGTAGTTGTTGCCCAGCCCCTGCTGGGGACCTGGAGCACAGTCTTCTGCAGGGTTCAGGCCCGAGCTCTGGTTTACTGACTGTGCCTAACACACACCACCTGGTCACTGCACTCGTCCTCTAGCTAGTCAAGTCTTTCCCAGTCACTCTTACCACCTCCTTTCTCTTTTGGAGTCCAATTCACATTTGGATCTCTGATAAGAATGAAGATGCTAATAATTCAGAATGTCCAGGACTGCTTTGTAACGAGTGTCATTTCCTATGTAGCATATGCCACATAGACCCCAGGGTGCCTCCTGCTGACCTGGGAGGTTCAGGTGCGGCGAGAGGGCAGTGTCCTGCTCCACACACAGGGCCAACAAGAGCCACCCTCCAGGGCCACGCATGCTGACATGACAGAGTTCTCAGATACAACAGTACACAGATGCTTCTGGGTACCAGGGCACGGGGCAGACAGATCTTGATTTATAATTAAAATGGTTTAACCTTGGTTGGGGCATTCATTAGGAACCTTTCTTTGTGAGCAGAACAGTCCATCAAAATTACTGAAAATAAAGTGCTCTTGTCCAAAATACTCTCAACAGCCTCCTATTCTTTAGGATGAACGAGTAGTATATGCAATATAACAAACCTGCTTGTGTTCTTTCTCCAGAGCTTCTACAAAGCACCGTGTAAACACTTGAATAGTGGCTATGACTTCTGGGGCCCCATCAGTTTCCAGGAGTGCACACCTGAACAATGCAAAGTCAGATCAGAACACGTTTCATGAGTAATCAGCAAACATATAAACCTGAACTGTGTAAGGGAAGAGTGGAAACACTCTTTTTATGCCATAAGCTTCAGCAGTATCTCAACTCATCAGATTTTAGTCCTTGCGTGAAAAGCAGGATAAATCTGTTACTCCCTCTTATAAATATTTTCTTTAAAATTGCAATGTGCAGAGCTCTCTTTCTTGGTTCTTAAATTATTAAGCAACGCAAATCCCTTCCACAAAGGCTTGCATATTCTGTACAAATATTTTTGTATTGTATGCCTTGATATGCGACATCAACATTTTGCTTTCATAAGCAGAGATGAAGGTGCTCAAAGGGGTAAAACGGCCTAGTCCATCCACCCAGCAAAGTCAGGAAACAGTCAGTGTGTACCTTGTTTGGTTTCTGTACATTTTCATACAATTAATTTTTCTTTATGTTTGTTTAAGCAAAGAAAAAAAAATCCTCGAACTTTGCTAGCTTTAAGTCCTAAACAGTATTCTGACTTATTTCTACCATTTAGCTTAAAAGTGTTGTGTTTCAAGGCCAAGAAGTGGTAAGTTATTGTTACTGTAAAAATTCCTTTCCCCGGGCCGGGCGCGGTGGCTCACGCCTGTAATCCCAGCACTTTGGGAGGCCGAGGCGGTGGATCACGAGGTCAAGAGATGGAGACCATCCCGGTCAACATGGTGAAACTCTGTCTCTACTAAAAAAAAAATACAAAAATCAGCTGGGCATGGTGGCGCGTGCCTGTAGTCCCAACTACTCGGGAGGCTGAGGCAGAAGAATTGTCTGAACCCAGGAGGCGGAGGTTGCGGTGAGCCGAGATCGCGCCATTGCACTCCAGCCTGGGTAACAAGAGCGAAACTCCGTCTCAAAAAAAAAAAAAAAAAAAAAAAAAAAAAAAAATTCCTTTCCCCAAAGTCTGCAGGTCTGCCCTGAAGCCTCTGGGGGGTGGAGGGGCAGGTGGAGAGCTGATATGGGCTCCCCGGGGAGAGAGGCCAGGACACTCCCAGGTGACCAGCTCCCCAGTGGGGTCCAGTCTTAGTACTCCATGGTTAAAACTCCCACTGACTGCCAGCCACAGCTCAGCTTCATGGTTGTGAGCTCCTGGTCTCTTGTCGTCTATAAATCTAATGCATTTCCCAAGAAGCACTTGTATTTTCAAAATAAAAATGTAATGTGTTGTAAGAGAACATGCATGGTGTATTTTGCCTTTCAGAAGAGCTCTGTTAAGAATGGCTTTATTTATTTATTTTTCTTGGCTTTTCTTAGCTTTAAAGTCTTTTAAAAAGATTGGTCAGCCCTCACGTGGTGAAGGGAGTATACTGCTACCCTTTATTCTGAGCTGAGAAAAATCCTACGTGATTATTTCAAGACATTAATAACTAACTCAATTCTGCGTTTCTATTATTAGAATCTTTAAAGGCTAAAGAAAAGAAAGAAAGTTATCTTAATTCTTAGTCACTGGTCTTAAAATTTACACTGATTTTTGAGTTTTTAACCTCTAATTACCAAAAAGCTCTGAGGAATAAGAGGGATTAGAAACTCTTAATTTCCCCGATGTACAGCCAGAGACTCCCGCAACATTTTCTGATTCATGTTTGGAAATGGAACATTTTTTACATCGATTACTAGAAGAAACAGCGTAACATTTACCTGAACATCTCATCAACAACCCGGAATATGGCAGGGTGGCAGGCTGCTTGAGACTGCAAAAGAAGATGACCATGAGAAAGTGAAATCATCGCAGGAACTTTCTCAGTAACTTGCTATTACCAGCCAAAGGTGTTATCAGGAACTGCTGCCAGAAAGCTGGCATATCACTCTTGGTTAGAAAAAGGAACCAGTGCTATACTGAAAACGCCCCACATGCAAGTGCAGATGGTGGTCTCCCTGGGCAGAGGTCACAGACGGCTCATTCCTCTGCATACTCCTCCATGTTCCGCATTGTTCCGTAACAAGCTCAGGTGATCCATAATACAGAATCAGTAAGTACTATGGAAACTTAAAAACATCCTCTGCCAGCATGCTGTGGAGCCTGCCTCTGCTGCCAATTCCACTGAAGTGTGCCTGTGTGTTTTTGGTTTTTTTTTGAGACAGAGTTTCATTTCTGTTGCCCAGGCTGGAGTGCAATGGCACAATCTCAGCTCACTGCAACCTCTGCCTCCTGGGTTCAAGTGATTCTCCTGCCTCAGCCTCCTGAGTAGCTGGCATTATAAGTGCCTGCCACCACGCCTGGCTAATTTTTATATTTTGTATAGAGACAGGGTTTCACCACGTTGGTCAGGCTGGTCCCGAACTCCCGACCTTAGGTGATATACCCGCCTCGGCCTCCCAAAGTGCTGGGATTACAGGCATGAGCCAACGTGCCTGGCCCGTGTCATGTGCCTATGTGTGACCTCCTCAAACAGCTAGATGTGCCTCGAGGTCAGGCCGATGCCTGCAGCTTGTTTATTAGGTAATGAGAATTACTGGCAAACCAGTGACCACTACCACTCTGGACTGAATCACATCGCATCTTAGTGCACTACGGATTTAACAGCTTGCATTATTTAGGATGAAAAGAGGGTTAACGAATTCGAATGAAAGGCGTCTCATTTCTCCTTGAATATTCTGATGATGGGTTCTGATTATCCGAGCCTGCAGCAGCCCTGGGAGCTGGGAGGAGCTTCAGTGACCCAGTCACAGGTTCCCTATCTTTTTGGCCAGAGCTCAAAGTCTGCGATGATGCCAGAGGAAAATGCCCATTTGTGTTCTAAAACAGATCCTTTACAGCAGGTGTGCAACCTTTTTGGCACCAGGGACCGGGTTCGTGGAAGGCAGTGTTTCCACAGACCGGGACGGGGAGACGGTTTTGGGATAACACTGCTGCCCCTCAGATCATCGGAGGCTATGGGGCGCCAGGTCGGTGGAAAGCGAAGCCTGCTGCTGCTCTGTCGGGGCGGGTGCAGGCAGGAGGGCTCAGGGCTCCCCTCCACTGTGCGCCCCGAGGGATCGGACCCCTGCTTCACAGCACCATTCACACGGCAGTGGATCAGACGCTCTCGGAAATTCGAGTCATTCTGCATTAGGTATGACCAGCTTTGGGAAACACTTCTCATAGGCCCCCCGACAGCAAGGAGAATGAACGGGGCTCCGCTGCGTCGGGGCCCTGGGCCACACTGGGGCAGCACCGCGCCTTCCTCCCGCGCCCACGCGGCACCGACGACATAGAGCCCGCGCCATCTAGCGTCCACTCGCCGGCACTGCCGCTCCGCCGCTGGTTCACGACAGGAGAATCGCCTTTTAATTATTTCAAGATTTCTAATTTACAAGTTAAAATGTCCTACTCTTTAAATATTACGCTCCCTCATCCTTCACTGTTGCGCATTTTTGTCTAAAAGGAACTAACTGAAATTCTTACAGACAAATTCATTATCTATGCAAGAAAATAATTTGGCAGGACCATGGTTCAAGACAGGAGAGGCAGGTTATTTCTTGGCTTTGAACTTAGGCATGTCAGTTAATCTCCTGCTGCCCGGTCTCACTGTAAATAATAACAGTTATTAAGAGGTCACTGGATAAGCACAGAAAATATAAAAGTTTCTATGTATTTATAATGAAAAAAATAAAACAAGGGAAAAGCAAACTGTATGTCTTGAAGAAATGTGATTCATCTAAGTTTGCCAGAGCAATTTTCAAAGTTTTGTATAACAACATGCTTGTTGAATAACAGTGTTTAAGATCAAATAGCACTGTTACGTGCCCACAGGCAGACAGACAAAAATAGCACGGAAATGCACTAATAGAAAGTAAGATCAATTTGAAAATGGTAAAACTGAATTTCTTTTTTCTAAATGGTAAAACCATCCCAGAGCCATCCTATAGGTTTGATGCTAGTAGAGAATAATTATAGGGATTTCCAAACAGCAAAGAAAACGATGATCAGATGTGTAGAGGAGAGCTACGTGAAAACCACTGGACAGCTCTAACTCAGTTTGTCAGAAGAGGGTGAGAGCTTGGAAACACTTTTCTTCTGTGCAGTGTTTTCTAGCAAAATAGCTCAATCCAGTGTTTTAAATGTCTGCTGGCTGTGTAGAATCTGCTTGTTCTTCCCCATACAGATGGACTCTCCCCTTAGATTTCCTTCTTTCCAAATATTTCAGACCCTGAAGCAGGCGACTCTAAGTCTGCTTCCACAACCCATTTTAGCTTTTAAAACCGGTAATAGGCCAGGAGGCAGGGGAACCTGCAGAAACAGCAACGGCAGAGATTTTGATTTGAAAACCAGCCTTCCTTGCCACCCTACAGCTGTGAAAAGCTCCTTCTCATCTGCACCCCTCACCAATGGCTTTTAAAATGAGATTCTTTATACTCTCTGAGCACATAATTTCAGGGTCAGCGAGTCCCCTCATGAGGACTGGTGTGTGCACAGGTCAGGCATGTGTCCCAGTGACATCAAATCACAAAAGCAATGTTAAGCTGCTTTTCTTATCAAGATAATCTTCCAAATAGAATTAAGGTTTTAATACATGCTTGTTTGGAAGCCATATCTTCCCCCCTAAATCTCTGCAGCATCCTCATGAGTGACGAAGCAGACGTCTAGCTTCTGTGAATCCTGTTTTATTTGTAAGGTGGGGCACTCCAGTCACATACCACAGGTCACTCTGCAGCCCAGGGCTCTGGAGCCCCATGACTGGGGCCATTATCTTTTCTGTAAAAGTGGGAAAAGAAAATCAACCTTCTGGAGTTCCATCTGTTTATTTTTCTCCATCCTACCAAAATACGTTCCTTCTCAAGCTCTCTCTTCTTCATCTGGCCTAACGATTTTCACGGGCAGATCACTTCAACTCGAGGGAGCTACGTCAAGAGGAGGCCTTCGATAACACGTGTCTTGCCCTTGCCTCCAACTCCCCGTTGTTTCACTGAATGCCGCAGCGGGTGATGATGGAGAGCTCTGGGCTCTGCTTTCCTTCTCGTACAGACCAGATTGTTCTGCGGGGCGTACTTCCCCTTGGTTTAATGAGAGCTTTCCCGCTCATCTCCCTGCACGGCTACCCAGAACTGCATTGTTTCTCTCCCCCTCCACCTAGAAAGGCAGCCCATCCTCAGCCCTCAAAACACAAGGGAACACAGTCAGCAGGGGATCAATACACAATAACCATGGTCTCTGCGCCTGTTTTGGAGGAGAGGCAAGGGAGAGGCCAACTTGTTACTCTGCACCATGAACTGTGCAAATTACACAGGATCTCACGCTCGGCCCTTGATGTTTACGTAAGCTGTTATTTTCATACCAACTCACCAGTGATTACAAGCCACTTGCCACTTGAAAGAGGCCTGAGAACACAGAACAGAATTCTCAAGAAGCAGCATTTCTTTTTTTCTGTCATTTGCTGTGTGTGTGTGTGTGTGTGTGTGTGTGTGTGTGTGAGAGAGAGAGAGAGAGAGAGCGTGAGCGAGCATGCGTGAGAGAAAACAAACCAAAAAGGGAAATTAGACTATGATTTAAGGTAATTCATAGACAAAAGCGAATCATTTTTAGAAAAAATAAAAAGGAAGTGAATGAACAGAAAAAATGATCAGGTAGGACTTTCCATCTATCACCTTTCATAGGTATATTCTCCGTAAAAATAAAGAAGGAAATAGCAGATGAGAAAGAAGCTGAAGTTCATTAAGCCTGGAACAGATTCTTTCCTGGTGTTTTCATGTACTTGCATGTAGTTTAAATATTTACTTAGGAAATGGGTCATTTAAAGAATCAGCTGAGGGGCAGCTTCCCCTCCAGGTTACCCGGCAGCCAGACAATCCTGTCCCACTGTGTAGCTCTTTCTGAGCCACTATTCTCTCCACAGTGGGAAGCCCTTGTTGTTAATATGTGCATATTCACCACAAAGTAACTTTCTTCTTAAAAAGAAGATTCTCCATAAAGTCATTTCACCAGTGAACTCCTCTATTGAGCAGAAAAAAATGATTTGGCTTAAACACAACCTATTTATACAAAACCTTCACATCTGTCATGTACAATGAGGCACCTTTATAAATATGTATTTTTTATTATGCCACTTGATTCTTTTCTACTTTCAAAATACTAAACATAAGACTCTATCCCTTTTACATTTTCAGATCGATTTTGTTTTAAAACATTCAGGTTTCTTTTAACAAATTGGAGTTTGGAAAAATTATTCTTTCTTTTTAATCTTTACCAGATGTTGTTTATACACAAACAATTTTTTCAGTACTCCATAATGCAATTATTGTTTGATTAGTGATAAATCTGTCATTCCTGGGCTTAAGAACTTAGCAAGTACCAAATGTATTTTTGTGTCTTAAATTTACATGTGTTCTTTTCCGTATTCAGACACAGAAGTGGGAGGTATAGGGGTGCCCGGCACCTGCTTCCCGATTACCTAGCCCCACCTGAAGTCCTTCTAGCCTCACCCAGTGGCCTCTATCCAATTAGCCAGAGGTAGCCTAGGCCAGAAAAAAGCTCCTCCTTCCCCTGCTGCTTCACAGCTCAGCCTCTGAGTGGCGCTGACCCCGAGGCCCACCCCTGCTTTGCCTTCGGGTTCTTCCTTTCTCCCTTCATCTCTGGCCACAAGGTCTACATCCCTAACCGCGATCCCACTGCAAGGAACCTGGCCGTGTGGGCCTCTCTCCCGGCAGAGCCGATGCTGGAGGATCTGGTGCCCCCGCGAGGCTCATGCTGGAAAGTGCAACTCCAGCCCAAGACGCAGACCCTGAAAGCTTCTGGCCACACACATCAGCCGGCACTACTGGGCCACTGCTAAGTTACCGACTTCAGCTATTGCTCAGTTACGTGCACAACATTAAAGCGCTCAAAAGGAAGTGCTGAAAAGACTGAAAAAGCAGGAAAAGAAAACCCTGGCATGTTAGTCAAACGCTGCTTAAGCACAGAAAACTGATTATCATCCTGGATATGGAGTTAATTCTTCAATGCAATATTTTACCAAGGAGGAGCTGTGCATTGGGAGTTTGTGTAAAGGAAGTTTCTTTTTTCTTTCTGAAATGCTGCAATTGCTACCTGGAGAATGCTGGGGTGCGGTGGGGTGGGGTGGGGTGCAGAAACATGTCCTATCCCATATCAAAAAGGATACTGAGATATCTAGATGCTTTTTATTCCTAAGTTCTTATTAGATAAAGAAATCCTTTGCATTGAGCTATAAAGATTTTTAGGTAGGAGAGAACACAAAGAATATTCTGATATCAAATCTGAGTGAGACAAAAACGGACACAAGTCTGCCTCCTGGGTGCCTCCTCTGCTCCTCTTCTTTCAGGGACACGTCTGCCTGGGAAGGTGAGGCTGGCTCCTCTGGACCCAGCTGCAGGTGGGCTCTGCCGGCAAAGGAGCAAATGGGAGGGCATGGGAACCGGGTACCTCCCGGCCCTGGCATGCAGTTTGCCAGGCAAGCACAGTACCACCCTGACACCCTGCAGACACTTTTCATTCCAATGTGGAATCCAAACAATAGCTTTCTGGGCTCCACAAACAGAAGTGTAACTGGAAAACATAACATCCTTCTAATCTGGGGCCAGCCTTGGCAAAGTGAGTAATGCCAAGAAAGCTGCATAATTAACAAGTGGCTTTCACTGCTGTCAGTGACATCAGTTTTTAAGGTCAGGTCTGAAGCTACGGATTATGGTCTTCCTGTGCCCTCGCTGTCAAGGGAAACATAAGACCATCGGCTTTTGAAAAGTTTCAGTCTGCAGAATAAATGACAATCTAGGGTGAATACCTCGCTTGAATTGGGAGCCACCAACGATGGCAGGCAGCCTGACTTGAGTCAGGTTCAGCACAGGGAAGCCAAAGGGGAAGTCTCAAAAGTGAACAGGCTTTGAAAACTTCTCTTTTATTTTAGATGTTAAATACATAGTCATTTGGAACTCTGGTAATAGGAGACTAATCCCTCATTATTCATGGTCTTAATGGACAGTATCAGACCTGTGAGTCCCAGAGGCCAAAGAATATTTGGGAAGGTCCTTTCACTTTGTACAACCTGTACCACACTTTTATCTTTTGTTTTTGTTACATTTTGGTAACTATAGAATTTCCAGGACTCAATCTGGACAGTCCCAAGAGAGAGAAATATAATTAACAGTGCTCTATATAAAACACAAGTTATGTAGACCATCACACTTTAATTACTCTCAGAATCCAACTCTAATGTAATAGGCATCATGTTTCTTCTGGAGCAGTCTCGTGCTATCTGAGTCTTAGAGATCTCTCTGATACTTCTGCAGTCCTGTCACTGCACCAAGATACTGCACTGCGATAAATGAATCAGATGATGCAATTAGGAAGCAGGCTCTTCAGGTTACCCCTGCAATCACTTAGCCACGTCACAGGCCTATTCCAGCCTGCCTGGCTTTCTGGCACTGCAGGCCTGGGATGCTGAGAACAGCCCACGCCAATTAGGGGCTTCCAGCTCATCGTCTGTACTGTAATTACCTCCTTGAACCATGAGGCACAGAGAGGTCACATCCTGTCAATGCCACAATAAATTAAACCAAATAACACCCTTTAGAATCCCCCTTTAACCATAATGGAAGCTCTGAATTTCTGCACACATGATCCCGATAAAAGCTTTTGTAAGTCGACAGACTTCAAAAGCCGTATGACTCGGGGGAGATTACTGTAAACTACCAACTGGACACTGAACATTATACAGTGATGTGCAGTGGGACGGCGTTCTCTGTCTCGCATCTACTGTGCTCGCCACAGTGCTGCTTAGGCGTGAGGGCCACAGGCAAAAAGGACACGGAGCAGGTTCAGAGAAGAATCCAAGGATTAAGGAAAGGCTGCAGAAAAGGCAACAGGACTAGAATTTTTCAACAGGGAGAAGACTTAAAGAAAATGTCATAAGCACCCTGGGAGCAAGTGCATAGCCCAGTTACTATATTTTGCCACTGAAAAGGGACCAGAGAAACTGAAATCCTAGTATGCACGTGTAAGTTAGAAATAGATTTACCAGACAATAAAGGTAATTTATGACCCTGACTCACCAGGAATGGGCTGCCAGAGGGCTTCTAAAAGTACTGGCTTATTTTGAATTATACTGCAATCATTTTAAAATAAGGTGCATTCCTATTTCTTGCCTTAATATACAACTCTTTTGGCTAGTAAGGCTAGGTAGTAATTATCCTTAAGAAATCTCTTTGAGCTCTCTCAGTCTTAATATACACACGTCTTCCTTTCTTTTCTATCATGGTAAACTTTCAAGTCAGGTGGGTTCAGTCTGTGCAGCCTGAGGTATCGGCGAGGGCCGTGTGGCTGTCAGCACCTGCAACCCTATCTATCTCGCACATCACTCTGGGAGGCCCAGGGGAAGGGTGAAAGGAGCCATGAAACAAGGGGAGAGATGGGATCAAGGAGGAAGGCAACTGATTCCATTAGGATTCCCTTAGACCGTCTCCAACTAGAAAGAAAAAGAAAGAACACAGAAGTTCCAACTGAACCAAACAAGCTGAAGGTGTCTGGGAGGCAGGGGTTGTATGAGCTCAGGACAAGTGGGCACAGCCAGCCTCAGGGCTTTCCTCAGTCTCAGCTCAAGGGCGAGGGTGAACACTCCCTCCTTGCCTGTGTCCCAGCCACCACCTCAAGACCAGACTGTTCACCGTGGCTCCCAGAACTACTTTCTCCACGTGCAGGAAGAGGCAGAAGACAATCTCTGTGCCACATCCCTGCAGGTCACAAAAGCTGAAGAGCAAACGGGGCAGAGTCCGCTGGGGCCCCTGGAGGACAGAGGCTTTGGGATCACGGAACCTGCAGGTTTCTGCACCATTTTTCTCAGGGTGCCTTGGTCTTCATTCCTGTCCTTACAAAATGTGCTCCAATCCCACAGAGCTGCCTCCCACGAAGGAAGATGACTAGTGAGTCAGTGGTGGCAAGGGCCACTGAGAGCCTAGGGTGCCAGACACTGGGCCAGGAGGTAGAAGTCCACGTGGGCCAGAGTCCCCCCTGCACAGCTCTGAGCAGGAAGGGAGCCTGGCGCCACCGTGCAAGGGAGGGTTGAAGGCAGGTGGCCTCACACCGAAAGAAAACGTACAGAAGTCTTAGCTGGTTCTGCTGCTTTAACCATATTTCTGGGGTTTTGTTCTCTTGAGTATTTCATCTTTCTGCTAGCAAAGAACTAAAAGTTTAGTTTTTGAATGTGTTTAACTGATTCTTCTGCTAACCTGTAAGTTCTTCATTTCTAAAAACTATTTCCATATTGAAATAAAAAACACTGTTTTAAACATCTGCTGGACAAATGTCAATTCTGGTGAACATGTGATACATGGCACATCAATCGAGTAAACCTCAAGTCTCTCCCTGCATGCTCCAAGGATGCAGAATAGCCCCTACGTTAGCGATTTTAAAAATAAAGTGTAGATACACGATCATTTATAAAGGTTCCAATTGCTCTTTTGTTTACATCCCCCCGTTTCATTCTTTGACTAAAAGAAATGATTCCCAGCATCTCCTGTAAGGATTTTTCTCTTCATCAAAGCCCAGCACGTACCAGCAATGAATCTTTTATAAAGCATTCGATCCTTCTCAGACAATTTCTCTCACTGGAGATTAGCTTTTCAAAAAGATGCAGCATTGTTTTTTCAAGGCTGGGAAGGTACCGAAGCCAGAGGCAGACTACAGCCGACACGGGGAGAGAAATCTTCTTCCTTTCAGAAAGAAATAAACAACATTTTAAATGGAAATGGATTACTGAAAAAAGAAGATTAAGAAAGTTCAAAATGCAATCACTAATCCAATTTGTGAGACTTCCTCTCATCATGGTCATAGCAGTGGCTAATAATTTATAGAATCGGTGAATAGTTACCAAGTACTCATTTGCAAAATAATGTGAATATGCTTCCACTTCAACTCCTCTTAAGAAATCAGAAATGCTCAGGAAAAAAAAAAATGCTTTCAAAAAGAATAAGCGAATGTCTAGTGATGGAAAAAAAAAAAAAAAAGGGAGTGATAAAAAAACGGGATGGAAAAGGCCTTGTGATGCCCCGTCTCTAACCGAAGAAGTGCGCATGTTCAAACCTAAGTCAGCATGCTTTACAACAGGGACTCGGACCTGGGTTTCAGTCCCAATGCCACTGCCTACTAACTGTATGACCTTGGGGAAGTACTTACTCTCAGTTTATTCATCTGTAAAATGGGCCTATCTCCTTCATAGTGTTCTTGTAATGATCAAATGTAACAACTCACGTACAGTGATAAGCACAGTGCTTGGCATGTAAATATTCAATAACTGTAATTGTAATCAGTTGCTTGAAAGTTGAAAATATTTTTAACGATTTCAAGGCCAGATGCAGTGGCTCACACCTGTAATCCCAACACTTTGAGAGACTTGAGGTGGAAGGATCACTTGAGTCCAGGAGTTCAAGACCAGCCTGGTCAAACAGTGAGGCTCCACCTCTATGAAAAAGAAAATGTTTTAAATTAGCCTGGCATGGTGGTAGCACACCTGTAATCCCAGCTACTTGGGAGGCTGAGACAGGAGGACCTCAGGAGCCCAGGAAGCTGAGGCTGTAGTGAGCTGTGTTCACACCACCGCACTCCAACCTGGGCAAAAGAGCAAGACCCTGTCTCAAAAGAAAAAAATCCAGTTTTTGTATATTGTGGTCAAAGCCTACTTGATGTACTAGACCTTAAGTATGATACTAAATAGATCGGCAGGACTGGGAATCAAAGATCCCTTAAAAAAAAAATAGACGCAGAGTCTTGCTGTCTCACCCAGGCTAGAGTGCAGTGGTGTGATCACAGCTCACTGTAACCTCGAACTCCTGGGCTGGTGATCCTCCTGCCTCAGTCTCTCTAGTAGCTGTGACTACAGGTGCACACCACCACATCTGGCTCATTTTTTTTTTCTTGTAAAGATGGGGTCTTGCTATTTTGCCCAGTTTGGTGTCAAACTCTTGGCCTCAAACAATCTTCCTGCCTCACCCTCCCAAAACGTTGCGATTACAGCCTTGAGCGCCAGTACTCTGCAGACACAACCATTTTGTGTAGCTACTTTTTTTTTCTATGGGAAAATATATTGAGGTCCTCTTGTGTTAGTGAACTGGGGCTCCACTTCCCCTCCTGGGAGGGAGCATGAGGGGCACGTGTCTGACTCTGAGCCCCCGCTGCTGGCTCTGGGACATAGTGGAGCTCCCCTGCCAGGGCAGTTTGCCCTTTACCTGCACATCCCAGACAGTGGGTGCTTTTCAAACCTGATGTCTTTTTCATGAATCTCCTGTCTTGCCCCAAGGAAACTAAGCAAACAGCAATGAAGCCAGATGCACACAGACCTTGAGGTGGGGAAAAGAGAGCAGTGTGTGTCCCCAGACCTGGCTGTCCAGCAGAGTCACTGTCACCCCCTCCCACTCTCAGGCAGCCACAGATGCTACTGCTATTAATAAGGAAAACTGAAGTGGGCACAGGCTCCCCCGACCCAACAATGCCCATCCCATCACCATGACTCATAGGCCGCTTCTCTGCAGAGCTGGTGTGAAGCCCAGCTCCGGATCCAGGGATGGGAAGGGACAGAGCAGGGGACATAGGGAGCAGTTCCTAGAGGTTTTGCTTTTTCTGCTTGCTTGCTGTAGCTCCTGCAGAACTTGTCCTGGGTTGACCATGGGGCAAAAGCAGCAGGGAAGATGCTGAAGACCCAGGCGGACTGCGGAGGAGCCTGCAGAAGACGGGGGGAGGGTGGGCACATTCACCTCAGAACCTCCCGATCTCGCGCTTGCACCCTGAACTTCAACTTGTCCAGGAGCCACCAGCAGGCCCCGTCCCTCATCTCCCCACTTCTCACACCCAGCAAAGCCCTGCCATGGTGCCACACCTCCTCAATGCTAGACATGCCACTTCCTCACATGTAAAGAAGGGAAGAAAAGATTTGTGGAGGATTTAGTAACAGCTCAGTTGAGGTGTGTGGATTTGGAGTGTATGAGGCACAACTGAGCAGAGATATTAACTAGGTCCTTAAATATCCAAGGTGGAATCTCTGGGAGAGGTACGGGCTGAAGGTACACATTTGGGTGTCAGAACTCCAAGGGAGGAAGCTGAGTGGGGGGCGGAGGCTCGAGCAGCAGGCAAGAGAGGAGAAGCTGCAGATGGCAAGAGGCACAGAAGCAGAGGATGCTGCTGCCCGAGCACGAGACACAGGCTTTGGGCAGGAAGTGTGCCTCTGAGCAGCGCTGCGGAGGGCAAAGGCACCCTGGGTGTGCCAGGCAGGCCCTGGATGGCAGCATGTGGCAGAGGGAGGACAGGAGTGGAGGTGAAGCCAGGACTGGAGACAGGACTTCAGGGGACCGGTGGTGACGGGAGTGGTGCCAGGCGGTGGCCCAGAGGTGGGGCCTTGTGTGCTCCTGAAAGACTGCCAGTGGGCAAGGTGCAGAGGAGCAGAAGCTGAACAGCAGTGTTTTGCTTGCACCTGAATCCTCGTAACAGCCCTACAAAACAGGTAAAAATTACCCCCTCCTGCACAGGCGAGGCAGCCGAGAAAAGAGAGGACCAGGACTCGCAGCTGGTAAGACCTGAAGCCAGGGCGGCTGGGGCTGGAGTGAGTACAGGGCCATGCTGGCTCTGAAGAGGGGTGCGGGATGCAGGCTCAGGGGGACAGCAGGCAGCTTGACTGGGTGAGCCAGATGTCCTGTGCCTGTGCTCATGCCCCTTGCGAAGGGGAAATGCTTTTCCCGTCTAGGCGATCAGCCAACTTTAGCCACAACAAAGAAGCCCTGGGGAGGGGTTCCTGTCCAGTAATCAGGGGGAAGCAGAACACCCCTGGGTGTGGAGAGGGTGCCCGCAGCTTCCATCATGGAGGCAGGACCACCCCCACCACGAGGCAGGAAGCTCTGCAGAGGAGAGCTCGGCTCTCAGTGGCTCCTCCCGTCTCCAGCAGCAGTGCTGGCTGTGACCGGCTTTCCTTGGGCCTTATCCTTCTTCAGAAGCCACGTAACATGAACCTGTATGTCATCGGAAAGGCGCTGCACTGCAGCGAGAGGTCTTCCACCAGCACCAAGTCCTGGCCGAAAGCCGTGGCACAGCACATGTCATTCACCCCGCCGGGTGACGGCAGGGAGGCTGCTGCCACGTGCAGGCCAGGCTGCCAGGAGCAGCGCAAACTCACGTGACCCGCCCCGCGAGGCGGAAGGAACCAACAGACACTGCAGAGTCACACAAGCGCACAGATCGCACGCCAGTCGGTAAGAGCGTGACGCTCCCATTCTAGCTCGAAAACGACGTGTGTTGATGACTTTTTATTAGAGCCTAGATTAGGAGCACACCCTACTAATTGCTGCGCGTGGTTAAGTTTATGGACTCGTGTTTAATATTTGAATAGATTTTGCTCCAAAGCATGAGTGATTTAACTCTTTGTAATCATTCCTGAACGAAGGAATCACCGAAGCGGTATGATCTTGATATGCTTGCCTAACAGAGTTTGGCCGAGCCAACACATTTGTGTTCTACACAGTGCTCTTCATGTGAACCAGGCTGGCTTTAAATAAAAAGGCAAATCACAGAAAAAGAACTGGAAATGGCCCACAGAAATATGCAGCTCCCCCATCTAATTAACAGTAAAGAAAGGGAAAAGCACCGGTACAGTCAGTGTGACCCTCGCGTGCTGGCGCTGAGCAGCGGCCAAACCCAGTGCTGGGGCAGGCACTGGGTGCACCTCCTCACAGCCGGGCGGGCAGTGGCTTCACACGTCCAGTCGGTCATGTGGCACCACTGAAGAAAACTCAGGACACACACACGCACCTGTCTTAATCAGTATACTGCTGTGAATTTGCCTGGCAGAAATAGAAACATGGGTTTGAGGATATTTATTGCAATCTTTAAATATAAGGACAAAACTAGAAACACTGCCATGTGCAGCCACGGACTAGAGCGTGGGCCACATGCCGTGGACTATGCCCCTACTTCAAATTAGCTGGACTGATGTCCTATGACGGGTGTTTAAGACACGCTAGTTAAAAAGCAGGTTCTGGAGTGATGTACCTATGGTGTAACGCTGCTTTTGACAATGAGCGGACAATGGCTTTACATGGACTTTACGTCTAACAGGCATAAGGTATGGCTACCAGAACTGGAGGATAAGGAGGAGGAGGTGATGAACATTTTCTGTAGGTACCCTGTGCTATATGGCTATATTCTGTGGAAAATTTAAAGGGCCAATCAAGTAAAAAAGAAAAACACGTTTTTAGGAGGACTGAAAAATTTCATTCTGCTGAGTGTGTTAGCCACAGAAGCGCAAAGGTTGCTCTTTTCTCCTCCCATCCACCTGGACCTGACCAAAACCATGACTTCAAGGAAAACAAAGACACAAATTTGCTCCCAAATCCCTACCTAATAACTGAGGGAGTTTTCTGTATTGTGGCTATGTTTTAGGAAAAGGGTAAGGCATTTGGAATTTACGTGCGATACGTTACTATTTTCTCCTTTAAAACAAAATGAGCAGTAGGCTTCCAGTCAGGGCTCCACTTAGAAATCTCATTTGCAGTGACAGTGTCTGACACGAGGCAGGGAAGCCTAAACAGGACGCTCTCCCCTGTCCAACAGACTCTGGACGGACACCTCGTTGACATTTAGAAAACTGTACTTTGTTTCTCCCAGATACTCAGTTTAGTAAGACAGTTATTTTTTTCTCATCCTTTCCAAAAAGAGGCAGCAGGTAAAGAAA